ACAAGAGAATGTTAGCAGATTCAAACTTTGACTTTTTTATACTGGACTAGTTGGGTTTATTAAATAGTTTCTGACTCACTATTTCATTATTCCTTACTGCTGAAATCCTTTAAAAGAATCAAATAAAAGTTAAGTGATTTTAAAGACTAGTCATTTGTTTAGTTAAGTATTTCAATGGTCGTAACAGGAAATGGAATTTGAGAGAGGGGGGACATGGGGCAAAGGTCAACAGGCTGAAACTTGAACCTGCCACAGCCTCCTTGTGGACCAAAGCCTTGGTACAGGGGTTGTGCGCTTAATCCCAGAACCACCGCTGCAGCCCCAGTCAGTGGCTATTTTGCAATTGAGGCTAGCCTCTAGAGCAGGGGTCACCTGCCCATAGCAACAAGGGGCCTTCAAGGACAACATGGGGTGGCCTCAGTCTAAAGCATTTATACAGCATTTCATTATATCCATAATTTACAACATGTAAGCATTCATAAGGATTTCAAAATTTGTATAAAATTAAAGCAAATTAGAAATGAAAAGAAACAACAGAAATATTTTTATTATATATGAAGTTTAGGTAAATAATGAATCCTACAGTTCACATTCCAGTATTTGTAGCCTGTCCTATGAATGAGTACCCTTAGAATAGCCCTCAGTCTTGGTGACCCTGCTCTAGAGACTAACTGCTGGAGGTGGAAGGACAGCAAAGGCAGGCTGGAGGGGGTGACAAAACAGTCCTTCTAGGACTAAATTAAAACAGCTTTTTTAAAAGCCACCTACAAACCTCTCAGGAGCATTCCTTCATGCTTTGTCATCATTATTTTCCCTATCTTCCATTTTGATCATGATACTTTCTCATCTTTCTCATCTCCTAATTTTACACTTAATGATAAAATGTCAAAGTTTATGAGACATTATTGAAGGATTTATGGTTTTTATGCTTGAAATGGTGATCAACAGATAATGCTTTTGGTGATAGACCAGACCAGCATTGGGATGTTTTAGTGCTATGTTTCTTGGCTACGATTTCAGGAGATGCTACACTCATTGACACTAGCGCAGATATTTTGTGCTGTGGTCTTAGCGGATCTAAGTCTGGGTTACACTGTATTTTACAAAAGCTATGAAAGATAGCTCAGCCAACTACTTTTTAGAATGGAAAACACCCTATTTGTCAGGACTCCTGTCTGTGTGTTTCTGTTTCTGTGTTTGTCTCCCGTCCTCCACCAGGAGGCGCCTGGTTCTGGTCCGCCTCTTGACACACCTGCTGATGGTTTCCCCGTTAACGGAGTGTTCTTAAGCTGCTGACTGCCGATACCTCGACTCCAGAGTGTTTGCCAGTTTTGGGTACGATTCAACAACTTCTCTGGAAACGTGAGTCAGCAACCAGATCCTCTTCACGAAGTTCACAAATCAAATTTCCCACTGAACCTGAACTAACTGTTGTGTCTTCCCCTCACTTTTCAGTTCCAGTTGAGCAGTGTTTAGAGCAACACTTCTCTCTGCATAATCTCTTCAATAAAACCTGTTAAACCTTTTCCCTGATCTCCCTGTTTGGTCTTCTGCATTTCGGTCTGAACCTTAGTAAAATCATGACACTTTTTTATAAATAGTTTTAACTGCCTTTGTCCTAAGTTTGATATCAAAAACAGATTAAGAATATAATTGTGATACCAATTTCAAAAATATGTGTGGATCTTATTAAAATATCTACATTAATCTTTACCTTGAATTCAAAGATTTCAACAATTTTAAATGTATGCCTTAGAGCCCAACAGGATTCATATGTCTGGCATATTTAGTTTTAACATCACTGTTTAATTTTATCAATATTTATATATTTTATTGTTGAATTAAGTATTTTAAATGTTCTGAGTTGACCAAGCTGGTTAAGAGTTTGATCCATCAAAGGAGCTGAAGATTAAAATGGTAATAATGAAAACTTTTTTCAAGCTTCTTTTTCCATTTTTTGTTAGATTTTGAAAACATGTCCCATTTCATTTCATACAATAATCTAATATCTTAGATGACAAAAACTCTAATTCTAATTCAACTTTTCCATTAGGAATACTTATTACTGAATGATAGAATATATTTGTTACTCTATTGAAACCTGCTAAAAGTAGATTTAATTTCAAATGCACAAAAAAGCCTAAGCTCTTAAACAATTTTCATTGCTTCAATAGTTTATAAATAGAAATCAAGACAGATAATATGAAATATTATTATAATTTAAACTTATTTTTACCTGTGAGAGCAGGCTCTGTTCTGAATTTCTTAACTTCAGCTTGTAGAATGGACATTTTCTCGGTTATACCATGTATTAATGTGTTAATTGTGTAGCAGGAACGAATCCCCCTCTCAGAAATACTCTTCTCCACTTTTTTCAAGAGTTCTGGGATCTGCTTCCTCTCCTTGATGTTGAGAACAACATATCTTCCTCCACAGCTCTGAAGGAGCTCCTGGATGTTTCTATCATTCTCTATGAACTTAACATCTCCATCTGTAGGATCTGAGTCCACAGTGAACAGGATCATGGTGAAGTCATTGACTCTAGAGCTGAATGTGTCCTGGATGGTCTGTAACTCTCCCTTGTCTTCATCAGTGAGGTGACCCACAGGTAGGACCAGGATGAATGCGTGGACACCCTCAGGTTCACAGAGGGAGATACACCTGAATGATTCCTCCATCACTTCCTGCTGAGCTTTTCCACACAAGGCAGGCAGCTCCACCAGAGACACCCAACGTCCGCTAACCTCTCCCTGGTTTCTAACACACTCTGATGAGTTGGCCTTTGGTCTAAATCTTTCTTTTCCTAAGATGGCATTAACAGCTGAGGTCTTCCCTGCTCCTCTTCTACCAAACAGAACCAGGTTCAGTGAAGGTGTGGGTCTGTTCAACACTGGCATTGAGTCGTTTTCTTTATTCAGTGTTAGATATTCTGCCTTATTGTCACAAACAAGCTTTTCCATTTCTTCTGTCATCTTCTTCAGGTCATCTGATGAGATTTCATTTCTGTCAAGATTGACTCTGACTTTCCTTTGCTTGCAGTCAGTGATCAGTCTTTCCACTGCTTTATTATTGGGCTTCTCATCATGTGTCAGGATAATCATTGAATGTTTGAAGGCATCTGGCAGAAACAAACTCAGGATGAACTTCAGTGTTTTTCTGTCCTCTTCAGTAAAATCTGAAGGCTTCACCAACAGCAGCAGAACATTTGGTCCAGGAGAACACAACTCCACACATTTCTGGATCTCTTTTCTCAGACTTTCTACAGATAAACTGGATAAGTCTGAAGTCCTCACTACTGTTACTGGTTTACTGTTCCATGAACCTTTGACAACATCACAGTGTTTGGAAGAAATTATTCTAGAAGTACTAAATAGTGAAGTGGTAAAGTCCCTTTTTCCTGTTAAGATGTTTCCCAAAGTTGTTTTCTTGTCTTCACTCTTTCCAAACATCACTATTCGGAGCTGATGTGCTAAATAAACACAAATACAATATTCATTTCTCATATCTCATTTATCTGTTTCCAATAGTTGTATAAATGTTTTAATTGACAACACAAATAAGTCAAAGTCTACATAAAGCCAACTTACCGTCTCCTGCATGCTCACATTGCGCAGCTGCCGTTGGATCTTTGAGAACTCTTCTGGTGACATGTTCTTCTTTAGAGTTCTTCACCATTTCTCCAATAACCATTAACAGTTGTTTTTGCTCATAATTATGTCCTATTACCATTTTCTGTCTACATCTATGGATGATTTCTTTCAGCTGTTGATTTTGCATGTATTCTTCCATGGAACCAGAACTCTTTGTTTTATTGGATACTATCAGAGCACATGAGTGGTTAAATGCTTGATCGCTAAAATCTTCAAGAAATGTAGACAGATTCAGTTTGTCTTTCTCTGTGAAGTTTTCAGGCTGTAGAACCAGCAGGAACAAATGAGGCCCAGGAGCAGAGAGTTCCTCACATTGATCCAAATGTTTTCTAAAGTCTTCTTCAGAAGATTCAAGGCACAGATTTGGGGTGTTGATGAGAACAAATTGTTTGTTTTTGATCGTTCCTGTGAATTCCAGACAGCTTTCTGATTCTCTGTTTCTGTCAAACTTTTTTTCTCCCAATACCACATTTCCCACTGAGCTTCTCTCAGACCAGTCATTTCCCAGCAGAACGATCCTCACTTCTGACACTGGAGAGAAACATTGAAATTATTTTTTCGGTATTAACATAATTCTTAAAGGATTTCAGTCTAAGGCTTAAGAGGAATAGAAACTGGATATATCCTCCAAGTGATGCGGTGTTATAATACTTTTATTGACTATGAATTTCAAATGTAAATCAAAAGCTATATAGAAGCAAAACTGTGTTTTCATTCAGTCATTAAGTGACAAAGAAGTAAATAGTTCAGCATAAACTATTTAATATATATCTGTTTCTAAAACTAAGCTTAATATTACTGCAAAAACATTCATTTCATAAATATATGTTAAATTTTTTAGTAATAAAAAAATATTTACTTACTGAAAGGTGGAAGAAATTCTAAGCTGCTGCTGCGCTTGAGTTCTGTAAATGAAGATAAATATTTATTGCCTTATTATTTCAGTTTAGATAAATGAAAACCACGTCTTTTCCTTCATTAAAGGCATATCTTACTTTTTATACTCCACACATAAACATTATACAAAGCCTCTTCTTTAATGGAACCTTTTAATAATTCTTGTATGATTTTCTGATGCCAACAGAAAAAAGGAAATGCATGTATAATTTACTCCTCCAGTTTTACTTGGTATATCTCATGTATATGTTTTAAGGAAATTAAACGTAAGTACATTTCCAAATGTCAGTCAGTAGTGACACAAAAGTTTCCTTTTTTAATCGCCATGACACAAATATTAATCTCAAACTCGCTATTTATCACAGCGGTCAGGGCCGTAACTACCGTTGTGGAGACCAATGTACTTTTTTTATTTATATATTGCCTAAATTGTGATATATAAACTCTAAAATAAATAACATTGAAACTGAATGTAGGACTATGATCTAGGTCTCCTACAAAACTGAGAGGTGCTTTACATTTAAGGTGCCAAGACTAACGTGACTATATAATAAAAAAAAAAAAGCACAAGGATCTCAGCACACGTGCTGCTCACCACAAGCACTCTCACTATGGCAACTGCCACTTAGCCTACAGATGCTGATAGTAAGTCCATCAGTCACGGCAGTCAGTGGAAGAGGAGCACATCAAGCTACAAATGTAGGTGGAGAGTAGCTTAAGTTCTCGATGATGGTGGGAAAAAATTGCATTTTCATGACGAAATATATAAGCCCAGCAAACTACTCAGACAGCAAAGGAACATCGGACCTTTAACTCTCTCAGTACCGGTCGTCATTCAATTTCCAGGAGTTGAATCAACATTCATTATGCAACTGACATGTTAGCAACGTCTTTGATTGAAAATAAAATGTTTATTCAGCATTGATTTCTCAGTGGTGGATTTTGAACTGTTTTATATTTCTGCTGAAAGCTGGAGCTCAACACAGCAAGTTGTTATAGAGAAGATCAGGCGGGACAAAAAAATGAGCATAGAAACAAAAATAAATCATCCGGTTAATTTTCAAATAATAATAATTTCCTGTGGTAACTTGCTCTAACTTCAAGAATCACCATAATGGTCCCTCAAAAAGCCTCAGAAAGCCCCATTTTTTATTTTGTCTTGTAAGGTTGTACTTCTATATTTATTAAATATGAATTATTGCTTAAATGTATATATTTTAACTTGTTTATTTATTATTTATACTTCAACTTATTATCCCTATCTTTACAATTTTATACTTTGACATTGAGCTCCTCTGGAACCCGGAAAACTAATTGAATTTTATTCCATGTCGATGTGTTGAAAAGACTAATATAAATGCAAACATTAAATTATGCGCTAAATCAGTAAATAAGCCATATAGTGACGCTTAAAATGTATAATATACTCTCCTCAAATTATCTTAAAACATATTTTTATAGAAAAACGGCAACAGAAAAGAAAACATTTAATTTAATACTCTGCAGAACAGACAAGTCTGCTCTGATGCATGCTGGGTAAAGAGGGTTTTAGGTTTATTCTTTATACATCATGTGCATTGTTACTTTGTTAGCCAGATTAGACAGAGTAGAAGGCCTTCCTTCACATTGTGGATGTCGCGGTGTGTACGAAGGTCATCTAATCAAGACAGCATTCGTGTCTTTAGGAATACACAGGATATGGGCACATCTTGGAGTCGGTCTGATAGGAGAGCTGCTGTATCTGTAACCCTGAAGCATAGAAGCAAGCTGCATGGAGTTCAAGACATGGATGGCGTGTCAGTTTCTGACACGGACAGCTAAGCATCCACATGATGCAGCACACAGACTCAGAAG